AAACACTTGCGTTCAAGAAAACCTTTAAACTTCGCTTAATACTAAGCCTAAAAGGCTGAAGCATTTTTCATGTTCTACATCTAGCCTGCGCCGATATTATTCAGAGCTGTTCCCTCGAACGGGGCCCCTAATAACAAGGTAATTTGCGATGAAAAGGAAACTTGACAACAGCATGTGTACTTTGCAACATTAACCCGGAGACTATGTCTCCGATTTGCACCATTTTATTCAGCCTGTGATCAATCCTGCCCTGCCGGCTCCAGCATTCGATAGCATGGAGCGTCTTCACACGTAAAGATGTGAACAATTACTGCAACGCAGCTACCCCCGCATCTACCGAAGCATACGCTCGCCAAGTTTCATTTTCATCGGTAATTCATTGTATGGTTTACAGTCATGAATTCTTTGCAGAATTTTAAAAGTTTGTCAGACTGAAATAGACTCACCATTACTTCCTTTCTTATCCCTACCTACTATCACTCCATAATAATCACCTTATCACCTGCAGTGATATATAATATCTGCGATTCAGGCGGTGTGGTAGGCCGTAACAACAAGAGTAGTCGGCTGTAACAACAAGAGTAGTTGGCCGTAACAGAAGTGGTCGGCCGTAACAACAAGAGTAGTCGGCTGTAGCAACAAGAGTAGACGGCTGTAAGAAGAGTAGTCGGCCTTAACAGGAGTTGTCGGCTGTAGCAACAAGAGTAGACGGCCGTAACAGGAGTAGTCGGCTGTAATAACAAGAGTAGTCGACTGTAACAGCAAAAGTAGTCCGCCGTAACAACAAGAGTAGTCGACTGTAACAAGAGTAGTCGGCCTTAACAGCAGGAGTAGTCGGCTGTAGCAACAAGAGTAGTCGGCCGTAACAGGAGTAGTCGGCTGTAATAACAAGAGTAGTCGACTGTAACAGCAAAAGTAGTCGGCCGTAACAACAAGAGTAGTCGGCTGTAGTAACAGGAGTGGTCGGCTGTAACAAGAGAATAGTCGGCTGTAGCAATAAGAGTGGTCAACCGTAACAAGAGTAGTCGGCTGTAACAACAGGAGTGGTCGGCTATAGCAGCAAGAGTAGTCGGCTGTAGCAAAAGAAATAGCATTTCCTTTATCAGGAACAGCAATTCTCTTTCTTGATTAAAGTCAACAACTCTTCATATGGCGTTATGATTGCACTTCAGATATGTTACTTGGAATGTGTATCCTGTAAATACTATGAATACTAATGTTGGTTGCTTAAGTACATAAATGATAAGATAAACGTGACCCGATTTCAAAGCAAATATGAAAGGAAAATGAGTTTCAAGTGGGACTCGTAAAGCCTGGTTCCTTTTTGGATAGATTTATAGATTTATATATTTATAGATCTGACACTGTTAATGATTTATTTTATAAATTAGATATATGAAGTATAGAGTATACCGTATACACAACAACAATCAGTATTCAAAACAAATAATACACTACTGCATCAACATTTGCTTCCATTATGTTTATTATAAAATCAAATGTTGATGTAATAGTGTATTATTTGTTTTGAATACTGATTGTTGTTGTGTAGACTGTATATTCTGTACTTCATATATACAATTATCTAATTTATGACACAACAGGATTCACAATATTAAGATTTATTTTATGTTTCTGACGTATTTATTACTTAAGTACAGATATTCTACACATTAATTCTGTCGAATATAGCTTCAAAAATTCGCACTGTCACCATGTTTGTAGTTGACTACTTTCAAATAATATTTAATATATAATTGTAGATATCTTCATGACTTGTCTCCATACCAAATTTTACAACCTGAGTTATCGCCATCAGACTGAAACCAAAGGAGAATTTCGCACTGCCACCATGCTGTTATTTCACAATTTAAACACACACACACGAAGAACTTTAATAAAGGTTACAAATTTTTTGAAGAAATTTTACCTTTTATACGTAATTTTATAAATCTAAAGTAAATTCCACTCTGTCATTCCCATCTCAAAATTTGCACATCCGCCATGTTGTTATTATAATAGGAAATTATAAAACACGACATTGGGGTGGCCTCAAATGACACAACCTTCATACCGAGCTTTGTGAAAGTCGAAAATCTGCTTCAACCGTTGAAATGGTCAGAAACACAAACGCGCACGCACGCACGCACACAAGCGTTCACGCAATTTGATGATCTCATAAACCTCTTGTTTTCGGGTAAGGAAGAAAACTAAGTTAAAAAGTCACAGGGAAACTGTGAATACACGAACAGCAAGTTACAGCGATGCTAGAACTTACTTGTACGTGTAGTTACACTCTCAGATTATATTAGAGTGCCTGAGGCATTCGCCGAACTGCTTCATCCCTTAGCAGCGTTGTAATCAATTTTACATTAACGGAGAATCCGAGCTTTCAGGCTAAAGTAATCCCGAATAAGTTGAGGACAATGAGATTTCGGAGCGCTTTGCGATTTAAGTAATTAAGCTGTAATATGAAACTCACATTGCGTTCACTTGTGGTTTATCAGACGAATTAGCTGATGCGAAGGCTCTTCTGATTTGCATTCTGGACTTTACCTATTCGAATATCGGTTGGGGCACCGACATTCATGTTTGAAGTATTTATAAGTATTTGTCAGGGCCTCCAGGTGAATGCTGAGTTAGAATTTCAAATATATCTGTTTCTCCGAAATCTTTTTTATCTCATCAAACTTAATAAAGCTGTCCCAGCTAAATAACAACTTACTTGCTTACTTACTTACTTACTTACTTACTTACTCACTCACTCAAGGAGCTGAGACCTTCTTGAAGAGCCACAATTCTACAGCTACTCAAGATTTCCCAACATTTTATGGAGCCCGAAGGTTCATTACTGTGTTCACAAGAGCCCTCCACTGGTCCCTATCCTGAGCCAGACCAGTTCAATCCATACCATCCCATCCTATCTCTCTAAAATCCATTTTAATATTGTCCACCCACCTACATCTTGATCTTCCAAGTGGTCTCCTTCCTTCCGGCTTTCCCACCAATATCCTATATTCGTTCCTCTTCTCCCCATTCGTGTTACATGCCCTGCCCTCCTCATCCTCTTTGACTTTATCATTCTAATTATACTTGAAGAGTACAAGTTATGAAGCTCCTCATTATGCAGTTTTCTCCAACTTCCCGTCACTTCAGCCCTCTTCGGTCCCAATATTTTCCTCAGCACATTCTAGGTTCCGAGTCCTGCAGGACTCATGGCCATTAAATACATAAGTAGACACAGTTCTGCCTCAGAATGGTTATCGGTCTAAATTAAACTTAGTTCCTTGGGATGCATATTGCTCAGACAAATTGAAGTGAAACTTCTTTGCTTTTTATGCTGACAGAGTAATTAATTAGCTATACGAATGGAATTCCGGCTTTAAATTTATAGGCAAAGCTATCCCTGTAATAGGCCCTGGAGGCCCATAGGGTTGTGAGACGTCGAGGCTTCCAAATTTTATAGACAGGCAGCTCATAGATGGCGGTGAGCTTGTCAGCCTTACGCACCGGCCGCCTTTTAACCTCCAGGAAGATTCCTGGTACTCTTTTCTGTTAGAGACTGAGTCCANTCTCCGTTCACTTCGGTTTTTCTTGATCTTACACATTCGGTAGGACTCCTTGGGCGGGTGATCAGCTCGTCGCAAGGCCTCTACCTGTACACACACACTAAATATCCATGCCCTGAGTGGGATTCGAATCCAGGATCCCGGTTTCCGAGCGAGCGAAGACAGTACATGCCTTAGACAGCTCGGCTACCGTGACCGGCTAAAAATACATATACTTATTTTTTAATAATCCAATAAAAATGTCTTCCCTGCCATAATCAGATAGATGAAGCACAAACACACGAATAAAAATTGTACTCTTTAGGACAAAACATGAAAATGCTTCTGAAAATGGAGAAAATACTCACTCTACGTTATTTCTACAGTGTGAGCGCTGTGAACGGTTCAACTTTACAATAATAGGCACATCTACAGCTGTCCGAGCAGTGGGAAGCTCAGGTGGCAACGATATTCATCTGTTAGTACATAACGATCATAAAGTACTCTCACAGAAGTAGGCACTCCTGACAGGAGAAAAGCATTAACACACATTTTTGGAAAGCTGAATTAGTATATTCTCGCTTTCCGGAGAAAAATATCTGGGAGGCTTAATATGGCCCGCCTGCCTCGAGCTGTAGGTGTGGGAAAAGTGCCTAAATGAAGGACTTTTCTGTGAATGACAGACGAACTTACTGAAGATGCGTAAATCAGGGAATATCTGTATTACTATTTTTTTCAATGGCTCTTCCAGCCCATTCAGGGCCCAGGCCCTTCCGTAATCATTTTTCATAGACAGGACTCCTTGAGACCTCCTCTGTGGTCCAGTGGTTAGATTTCCTGGCCACAGATCCAAAGGTCCGGGTTCGATTCCCCGACGCTACCAGATGTTCTGAGAAGTAGTGGGTCTGGAACGGGATCCACGTGAGGATAATTGAAGAGCTATTTCAAGGAAGTAGCGGCTCCGGTCTAGATAACCGAAATCAACGACCTGGGATCAGTTTCGCTGACCATGCTGAAGTTGGCACTAGCTTCACCGACAAGCGACGGTCGCTCGGTCGGTATAGTTCGCTTGCGGACTAAAAACACGGAGTTTTTTTTTGTATGTCTCCTTGGACGAGTTATCAGCCCGTCGCAAGGCCTCTACCTAAACACAGGACAACACAAACACAGAATAAATGTATATACGCACACCAAACATCTATACCCTGAGTGGGATTCAAAACCACGATCCCAGCGTCCGAGCGAGCGAAGCCAGTTCATGCCTTAGATCGCGCGGGTACTGCAACCGGTTATCTGTATTACTATAAAAATCTAAAATAATAATTAAAATACAAGTTTTCTTACTAAACATAAGACTTATCTTAGGAAATATCATTCTCTCAATTACTGATCTACTGCGAATTCTCGAAACTCTATTTTTCACTCATACTTGTATCTTGTTCTCTGTTCTAGCGTGCTGCTGGATATAGGGCCTCGCCTTACCAGTCTCCAGGCACACCTGCTTTGGTAAGTGCGACGTGTTTTATACTGTTAATTAGTATTTGCATATTTCTACCCTTCAGACACATTCCTATAGAATCTACATACGAAGGGAAAATACACCTATACATGAATTAAATGCTGTTGTATTTATTTTTCTTAGCTCTCGATACAGTACCGCCCTAGACAATAATATGGTACTATTTTCTGTGGGGGACGCGGTAGCGTAGTTGCTTGAGGCACTATGCTACAAGCCGGAAGTTTGCGGGTTCAAATCCCGATGAGGCCATTTGATTTTTGTCAGTCGACCTAGTCCTTCCAGCCGCACTATGGCCCTGGGATCGACTCAGCCTCTAACAGAAATGAGTACCAGGAATCTTCCTGGGGAGTAAAGCGCGGCCGGTGCGTAAGGCTGACAACCTTACCGCCATCTTTGAGCCGATTGTCTAGATCAGTGTTCGGCAACTTTTTTCTACTCGCGGCACACCATGAAGTATCCATGACTCAACACGGCACACCAAAATGTTATTCCCCTCAAAAACGCTTGATATCAGACAATTAATATAAATACGTAACGTGATCAACTTACTAATATAATATTATTATATTGTTATTTTATTATCATTAAACGGAAATCGACTCGTGCTTTTATTAACAATTAATGAATTTTAATTCACTGTAGAGTGTAGAAAATACACTTCTATTACTATTAAAATAAATACAGTAATTCTACTCATACCTTCAATGTGATACTTGCGCCTGCTTAGCTTCACACAGGCGACAGATCCGTGGTGGAATCTAACAGAAATGAATACCAGAAGTCTTCCCGAGGGGTTAAGGGCGGCCGGCCCGTAAGGCTGACAAACCTACCGCCATCTATAAGCCCGTTGTCTAGAGAAAATGTGGGAACCTCGACGTCTCACAACCCTACGATCCTTCACGGTCTCTTACAGTGATAACTTTACCTTTACTTTCAACAACCATATTTTAAAATAAAGTTTCGTGGAGAGACCTGTACTTAATCCGGCATTACTTTAAAAGGAAGGCTTTATTGTGTGTATTTCCGGGTGACCAAGAAGAACTTTCTAAGTATTTAAATATGTACTCATCATTTCATATCATATAACCCGACTGACTCATGTTACTTGCCGAGTTACGAAACATCTTTCCTATGTGGGTGCCATACGTACGTATATGGTACCTTACAGAACGTTCCACAACTGAAACCCCGATTTCGTTTTTTGAAATGCCTTGCAGTGACTAATATGCTTATCACATCTCTGTATGAATGGGGCCCCTAATTCTTACTATTGAATGAATGCGTACTTCGCATGACGGTGGGCTGGAACAAGAGGTTCGACAATTGGGCCAACACTGTCTCCGGACTTTACTCCGCTATTAAGTGACACGGAAGATGTGCAGTAGTTATACACGTATTCTTGCCTCCCAGTGATTATATTTGATGTTCTTGGAGTATTTAATGTCTGTAACTACACTCGATTTAATTGACGTAAGGAGGTTGGTCTAGAAGTAAACACAGAAAACTAAGTATACGTAGTGTGTTCAAAAAGTATCGAACCTTTGGTCGGCAGAAATACATGGTAATGCACACACTTCTCCCAGCGCTTCTGCCATTGTTGGAAACACTTCTAGAACGCGTCTTTTGGAATGGTGATCAGCCGGGCCGTCGCATTCCGCACGATGTCTTCTCTTGACTCAAATCGGGTTCCTTTCAGCGGCATTTTCAGCTTGGGAAATAGCCAAAAGTCACACGGAGCCATGTCGGGGGAGTAGGGAGCCTGACCAACCACAGGGATATTGTGTTTGGCGACGAAAGTCTGAATCAGATGCGCAGATTCGGTACGAATTTCGCGGACACACTCCTCATGCCCAAATTCTCGGTCAAAATTGAATGTACCGATCCAATGCTTACATCTATCTCGTATGTTGCTGGCTCGTGACCAAAATGCAGGGAAAAATCATGACATAAAAGTAGGAAACAGATGTTTTGAAAAAGTGAGACACAGTTCAGATATTTGAAAACGACGATAACAAATCAAAACCCGATTGAGGAGGAAATTAAGAGGAGATTGAACTCAGGTAATGCTTGCTACCATTCGGTCCAGGACCTTTTGTCTTCTCATCTGCTGCCCAAAAATATAAAAATTAGAATATAGAAAACTACAATTTTGCCTGTGCTTCTGTATGAGTGTGAAACTTGGTCTTCAGACATTAAGGGAGGAATAGAGACTGAGGGTGTTTGACAGCAGGGTGGTGAGGATAATATTTGGACCGAAGAGAGATGAAGTGACAGGAGGTTGGAGAAAACTGCATAATGAGGATTTTCGTAACTTGTACTCTTCTCCAAGTATAATTAGAATGAACAAAGTCAAGGAGGATGAAATGGCCAGGGCATGTAGCACGAATGGGGCAGAAGAGGAACGAATATAGGATATGTGTGGGAAAGCCAGAAGGAATGAGACCACTTGGAAGACCAAGGCGTACGTGTGTGGACAATATTAAAATGGATTTTAGTGAGATTTGATGGGATGGTATGGATTGCATTGGTCTAGCTCAGGGTAGGGACCAGTGGAGGGCTCTTTTGAAAACTGTAATGAATCTTCGGGTTCCATTAAAAGCTGGGAAATTCTTGAGTAGATGCAGATTTGGTGGCTCCTCAAGGACTCAGCTCCATAAGTAAGTAAGTACACTCGATGTCCAGTGATGTATACTGGTTCTTCCTAGTAGGTTCAGTGGAGTGGGAATATTACCTCTCTTGCGCTGATGTTGGAAACATTTTCCGAAATGTTGTGTTTGAAGCATATCAAGGCGATGGACAATAGAAACTTTCCCGCTTTTCTTTATTTCACTTTTCCAGAATATAAAGTTGAGTTCTTTACGAA